GGGCGTTCACAGGGTTGTACAAAGCTTCATTGGTACATTAAAAGTTTCCAAAATCTTTGTCGGCTGCATAACCGAATAGATCTTAGAGGCTATTGCAAGCCTTTAACAGAGGTTTCACAATTATAAAAATGCTCCGATAAGTTTATCGGCTCCGGTTTTAACCCTAACCCTAAACCCTAAGCCCTAAACCGTTGAAGCGCTACAAATCAGCAGGGCGTTGGGGCTCAGACATGGCAGAAGTCAGGGATGTGAAAGCCAGCTCCGAGCCGAGCTCTAGGATACCAAGTAGCCTAAGAATAAAAAGGCCTCTCTTTTTGGTATTGGGTAACTTTATAAGGAACCTAGGACTACGAAAAGGGAATAAGGGTACTACTGGGTATCCTAGAGCTGCTCAACTTCACAATCCGAAGTCTTCTCCATGCAAACCACGGCTCTAAGTCCAAAGCTTCCAGGGCCAAGTATTGTGCGAGACTTGTCAGAGATAGGTCCGACAAAAACCGTAAACGCCATCCTATCTACATTTAACATCTAAAGGGCCTTCCAGGATCAGGGGGCGTCATCGAATCCCTTAAATCCTGGTTCTTCCTGGCCGAGCCCGGCCCCCAAAGCCTTGTATCCTAGAGCCCCGAACTCTTTCCTTCCGAAGGCTTTTAAAAATGCGGCAAATCATACATAAACCCGAATCCCGAAACTCAAACTCTTAGCCATAAGCCGTGCAGGATGCCTAAGACGACAGGCCTTGCTATCGCCTGCATCCAGAGGCCTCCCCCAAATCCGAAAGCCCGAAGACACAAGCCTAAACCACCGAAACTTGAACCGGAAAAACCCTGAACCCTAAACCAAAATACCTTAAACCCCGTAGACTAAAGCCCGAAACCCACAACCCTGCAACAACACAGAATCTGAAAAGGTGCAAGCTCATGTCCCAAAATCCTCAGCGCCTGAATAAACCCCTAAACACCCGAAGACCCCAACTAGGCAGCCCAAGCATAATTCCCCATGATCCCGGAAAGCACAACCTCCAAAAGAAAGCAGAGCTCTCACCAACAGAAACCCTCAAGCTTAAATCCTAAAGCCTTAAAGCTCTAAAGCGTAAACCCCAAAGCCCCAAAACGCCTACACCACTGAAGCCCTAAGATCCCAACCATGGTTCCCTAAAGCCTAAGCACTCAAGCTTCAACCCTAAACCCTACAGCCTAAACCCCTGAAGCCCTAAACCCTAAACCCCTAAACCCTAGTCCCTAAAGCCCTAAACCCTAAACCACTGAAACCTAAACCCCTAAGAAAAAGAGCAAAAGACTAGGTAGTATTATTAGGGAGACCCCTTAAAGGGTACCCCTTCTGAACCCTACTTCTGGCTTTCTTAAAAGGGGCCTTATTGAGAAGGTCTGTATCCCCAAGGGTCCCCTAATCCTAACTCCCAAAGACAGCCTGGTTCGAGGCCGCCCCAAGGACTTCAATGCCAACCACAGGAGCTCCGTGGCCCTAAAAGCACAGCCCTAAGGGTCCATGTACGCATCTAGTATATACATTGGCCTTAATGTAGTCCCTATTTGGGTACTTTGGGGCCATGTATCTCGGGTACATGGACCCTTAGGGCAGTTGAGATGAGGTTAGGGCTTATAGGGTTTAGGGTTTAGGGTTTCGGGGTTTGGAGTTTAGGATTTAGTTTAGGGTTTGGGGTTGGGGGTTTAGGGTTTAGTAGTTGTTTAAGGTCCATAGGGTTCCTTATCATGACTTCCTTACCAAAACCTGAGCAACGTACGCTGTTTGGGGGTATTAAGGTACATCCTAGGCTCTGAACTCATTGTCCTGGAAGTCTGAGCCTCGAAAGAGCGAAAGTTACGGCATACTGCTGCCTCTGAAGAGGAAGAAGAACTAGCGAGTGGGCTCTTCACAAGCTGCATGCTAACAGAATTACCTGACAAAAAAGGAAAGCAAACAAAACAAACATCGAAATCCTGAGCCAAGGACCAAGAATGCTCCGTATGAAACCTTGAACACTCACTCTAGAAACTTCATTGAAACAACTTGATACCAGAAACTTCGCCACCTATGACCCCATAGACCCGAGAATCAACCAGCATCGTACAGTTTATTGTATAAACCTGAGCTGTCTTCTATCACATCACACTCTGCCATATCATTCAATTCAAACACAGACGCATATTATCATATCAGAACCCACTACATTATGACAGATGATGTTGTAACATACTGAAATGTGTTTCGTCAGGCACTATTATATATACTATACTGTATTACTGAGCACCGCTCGTGGATCGTATGGATCGACTTGCCCACGTAGGGGTTCCAGACCTCTGCACGTTTGTCGGTTTGAGGCCCAGGATTCCGAAGATAGTGCCGTGCATCCGGACCCCAAACCATACAATGATATTCATTAGTATGAAGACCAACAATGGTAGCACTACCAGTATTGGTAATTATGATCATGATAAGACTCAGGGCAAGCTGATGGTTAAGCCGAGTAAGGGTTGGAGCGGCTTGCATTCAGTATTTGGATGGAGGGTTTGCCGCCGATGGCTGATCATTGGGGATCCGCAGGTGGCATGCAATGTTGAGGTGCCTCTAGGGTTGGTGCTTCTGGGAACTATTTGGGTGGTTGTCAAAATTAGGGTCCCTTTTTGGGTACCCTAGATATTAGGTACCGTTTTATACTAAGGACCCAAAAATGGACCCTAATTTTGACAACTACCCATTTGTCTCAGTGGCTTTGCTGAGACCTTGGTCTGACCGAGTTCAGCCAGACGAAGGTCCGAGATACACGACACAGCTGATGCACTTGGGAGTTTCCGAAAAGTAGGGGGGTCCCTTATTTTGGGGTCCTTATAGTAAGGATCCTACTATTTAGTGTACCAGAGTAAGGTCCGCTGTTTTCGAAAATCCCCACTTCCCTAAGGTTCCACGTACCCGAATAGTGCACACTTTGGTCTCAAAGCACCTATATCAGGATTACTTTTAAGGCCAAGGTATATACTTTTTGGGTACATGGGTGGTTGTCAAAATTAGGGTCCCTTTTTGGGTACCCTAAATATTCGGTGCCGTACTATATTAGGGACCCAAAAAGGGACCATAGTTTTGATAACCACTCACATGGACCCTCAGGGCTTCTGAAAAGGAAAGCCCAAGGAATGCGATACCCATTTGATGGAGCTGCGCTCCTCAGCCGTCTGGGGCGGCAACTAATTATAGGGCCCAAAAAAGCACATAAGCAAAACGTAGTAGAGGGATGTCCCATGTAAACCCCCTTATAATGAAGCCCAATAAGGTAGGATATCCCCATACAATGCTTATGCTTATGTGCTTTATGGGTCCCTAAACAATAGGCTCCACGCTGCACGGCAAAGTAAGGCAGCGAGGACCGAATCGCCAATGCCAGGGGAGGCGTAACAAAAGAGGTGACATGGCTCAGTGTGATTTTCGTGGAAGGTCTGTCCGTAAATTTTGGTGCTGGCTGAAGCGATCTACGAAACTCACAGAATAGCTTCCTATCAGAAGTATGCCCATCAAGGAAGCAAGTCAAGCGGCAAAAAGGTTGTAGTCGTAGCCCCCCGTGACGAGAACTTTCGTGGATGTGGCGAAAGCCATGCATCGGACCTGGCCGAGTCATACAGTGTCCGTAATGATTAAGATATACTGGAATTTCAGTCTAAACGGTTTTGTTTAGTATAAGGGCTACTGTAAGGGTTTGGTACAGGGGCCTGAAAGACTTTCAATATTAGGATTTGCGGCAAAACTTGCGATAGTTACATTCAGGAACCCAAAGGAATCCTGCTCGAAGTACTGACGAAGGCTCCAGAGTGGCGATGCATGTGCTGCCTGTGAACGCATGACTTTCCATGCTCGGGGGTGAAAGTGGGGATGTATTTACCAGGAACGGGTAAGAAATGCTTTAGTCCACACGAAGCTGATAATGTTGGGGATCCACAAGTCAAATCCGACTGAGAACCTCAACCTTTGGGGAAGGAGCGGATGGGAGATGCTTGAGACGGAGCTCCGGCATTATTCAACAACTTGTGATCGTCGTTGCTGCTCCTGGTGCAGACCTTGCAAGGTTTTGCGAACTGAGAAGCATGTGGTTGCATAGCCGGAGAATCTTGAACGACCTGATGCCATGGACAAACACGAGAGAACATTCCGACATCCTACCGTCCTAAAGCCCGTAAGCCTCAACAAGAAGTACCAAAACCCGAAGGCCTTGAGCACCTCAGGTTGTAGACCACTAAAGCCTAGAGCCTGGCGACTTGAAGGCTCAAAGCCCTTGGGAGCTGAGGGATCGGGCCCCCATCTTGTGACCACGGAGGGTGTTCTTGTAGATGCCGGTGAACACCTGGAGTGGGGTGTTCAGGTTTACCTTGAATACATGTGTCGAGTACATGCGCATGCTGTCATGATGGTGGTGAAAATCCCATGGCGGCTGCCCGAGCTTGTGAGACAAGTCCCCAAGAGTGTTTGCAGTTGGCGAAAGCCATTCAATATGTCGCAACAGAACCAAACACAGACGAATTCCGCTTCCAACTCCCCTAAACCTGTCACAGCTAGCAGACAACATGGGATAACATGCTATGAAACACCTGGACACATCCTCTTGCTGAGGGTCTAGCATCCCAGGTCATCACCTCGGCTTTATTCTGGCAGTGCTCTGACAACTGCAGAACTTTACCTCCATATCCTATACTGAACTTAGAACCCTAGCAACAAAATAATTTTAGCTGTTTCTTAGGGATTTAAATAACAAAAAATTCTAAGTACCCCTAAGTATCTGGTTTTTGCAAGTAAGTAAGGATTTCGACTTGCACTGGCATAAATGCAGAGGATGAAATGATAACAAGGTCCGTCTTCGGGGGTACCCTTATGTTAGGGAACCGTGCTGAATGATATTCGGATCTGTTCGGGTTCTCTTCATCTTCCTTTTCAGATGATGCTCGCCGTTCCGAAGTCTAGTCGATCGCTCCCCTTTTTCTTCGGCTGCTGCGTCCTCACGAGCTCAGTTTCGGCCGCTTCTCCGAGGGCACTTGGGGCATGTCCTGGCATGTCGGGACATGTACTGCAACCACCTTTTACCAACACCAGGCAGGCTGCCTGATGATGATCTAATATGGGGACAATGATTAGAATAGGGTTTTCGGGCCCATTATACTACAACCATAATAAGGAACCCCCCAAAATGCTATTGGTAATTACTTAGGCCCCTAAGTTACGACTTGAGGATCTGACTTCTAGCCTCAAATCACCTTCCACCCAAGGACACTGCACGCCTTAACCCATCTCGCGGATTCTGCGGGGATGAAGAACCTCTCGTACGGGAGCCCTATCCCCAAAAGTGCAAGATTGGAATGAAGACACCAAGCCACAACCCTAAAGCCATAACTTTTGATGATATCAACCGTGCATTACCTTAAGGAGCCTAAGCTATGGGAATTACGGTATATATTCCTTATTCTGGGTCATGCATGATTTATACCATCAACCGTACTTACTATAGGCGCCTGAATAACTACCAATACTGGTTGGGGGGTTCCTTTTTAATTGGGTCTAGGGGGATTACTAAAAAGGGGTAGCAAGTGCAGCCCAGACCTCGTCTCCGCCGGCCGGTGCCCGTCTCGGCACCCGGAAGCACACGCAAAACCTCGGCTGCGGATGAGGTTTGAAGGACAAGAGCACCAACAATATAGGGCCTTAATAATTAGAATCGGGTTTGGGGTCATACTATATCATAGCATATCATAGCTACGATAAGGAACCCCTCAAAAATATAGTATAGGTGACTATTTCGGCACCTATATCAGAGCTTTGGATCGAGGTTTGAAGGATGCAAAGATCTTCAAAGCTCTAAACCTGTTGGGATGAAAGCTTCTTTAGAGCTTTGCCCCAAGGCTCAAAATAGCCCAGAAAGCCTCATACAGGATGTCTGGTCTTTGGGCCCGATAGCTGCGAATGAATGAATGAATGAATGAATGGGCCCAGAAGCCTTAACATATGAGTCCTTGGATCCTCAGGGTTGGGATTTGAATACATTCCGCGTTCGGGGGTGTGGCCCAACCATAAACCGTTGCCCCCGCATTCCTAGACCATGAACTGGGATACTCTGAATCACAACTACGTCCAGCTTTTTGCCAGCCGCTAGCCCCCGTTTAGAAAAAAAATCAGAAGGCTGCAGGCATGTGTTGCAAACTGAGCCTCCTCCAGAAGGTAACGGTTTGGGCCAGGGCTTAACCGTTAGCGCTAAGGTTGCGAGTTCAGTGTACAGGATTACCCGGGTCTCCATACACTACCATTATGGAAGTAGGAGTGGATATGGACCTAACCCTGAACCCATATAACCCCTAAACCTCCAACCACTAAACCCCAAAGCCCCAAATTTCATAGTGGTAGTGTATATGGACATCTGGATCAGGACTCATGTATCGGAGCCCGGGGCTTATGACGTGTAGCTCAGGATTAAAAGATTCAAGGTTCGTTTTGGGTTTAGGGTTTGGGGTACAGGGTTTGGGGGGGTTCGGGTTTGGAGTTTAGTATAAGTGGACGTCGAGATGCATGTGCCGAGTTGGTGCCACATTGCGCACCAGACGCACAGCAACCGGAGTGTAGCCTGATGGTGTCTTAGTTTACTCGTTCGGCTTGAATGCTTGCAGGTCGACATAAACGGCAAGACTGGGTGCAGGTTTACAGTAGACAGGGTCTATGGAAGAGCCAAAGCCTCTGAAACTAGCATTTTGGAGTCTTGATCAATGACCTGTGGCATTTGGCCATGCGCGTGCGAAATCGATCTCGTTTTACTGTGGGGTTGTGTTATTTGCATTGTTTCTGAGACACAGATCAGACCCGCTCGACAGCTCCAACGGGTGTAAGTTCATGTGACACACGATAAAATCCTATCGTTCTCTTGGAAGACGCTACGCCCTAAACCCACTAAGCCTCCGGACCCAGAACGTCCAAAACCTCCTAAACAAAGCCTAACGACGCCAACACCCCAAAACTCCACGCGCCCAAACTAGCAAGCATAAACAAAGGCCAAAATCCCAAACTCCAACAACACCCAACAAACTCGTTTCTTCAAAATCCTAAACAACCTCCTCTACCCTTAGATAGTTCTGGAGCTCGAACTTCAGCCGTTTCGACAGCAGTGTAGCGGGGTAATACATAGGAGCCTTCTTTGCTTGAAAAGGGCTCCTACAACGATTCGCTTCAAGGCGCTACTACAAGGGTCACCATCAGTCAGACAGGGCTTGTTATAAGGGCGTTGGTGCTCAGAATAGGGCTTGGGGGGGGTGCATCATACTATAAGGAAACATGTGTAATGCGTATTTCGAAGCCGATAGTAATCGTAATGACTGCTGCACCTTAGACAAAAACAGACGAACTTCAGCCGGATCGACCGTCCGTTTGCTCTCTGAGGGCTTGCTGTACCTCAGCTGCTTTAGGTATATACGGCTGAGGGGTTTCGGGCTTACGTTTAGGATTGGGGGTTGAGGGAGCTAAGTTTAGAGTAACTATACTGAACTTAGAACCCTAGCAAAAATGATAACTTTGGCTGTTTCTTAGGGGTTATAATCACCAAAAATCAAGAATTATTTCTAAGTGCCCCTAAGTAGACCCCGAACCCAAAGCCGGACCTAAACTTTCTTAGGGGTTATAATAACCAAAAATTAAAAAGTTTTTCTAAGTACCCCTATAAGGCAAAGTTTAGAGTAAGAGGCCTGTCTCGTCTTTCTAAGCACTGGGGCTCCTAGGGCGGATAGCGCCACAGAGAGCCCAATACCCCGTAATTAAGGAATACCTAGGGTTCATTTAAGGGATCTGTAAGGGATCTATAGGGGTTTACGGAATTCTAATACCCCTTAAGAAAGGAATATAGCTTAAATCATAAGATGAAGCCCTGTATAATTTAAGCCATGTATTCCTATTGATTAAGGGGTATTGGGCTCTCTGGGGCTTTAGGATGTAGGGCTTTGGGGGTAAAGGGCTCAGGGGAAGCACGGGAGCCACAAGCGCATGAGCTTTCCGCTTTGCATCTTGCGAAGGTTTCCGGCATTAAGCTTCGGAGCTGAGGATATTGGGATACAGGGGACTTAGTAAGTAAGGTGAAAAGCACCGCATTTGCGGTTATCATTACTTATGACCCTACTTAGTCAGTCCCGTTATCCTTCAAGTACCGTACAAGCACCGCAAGTGCACAGTCACGAAGGTAACCATGAAGGCCCCTAGATTTGACGATATCATTAAACAGTCTAGGAAGGTAGCTAGGATACCCAGTAACAACAGAATAAAAAGGCCTCTCTTTTTGGTATTGGGTAACTTTATAAGGAACCTGGGACTACAAAAAGGGAATAAGGGTACTACTGGGCATCCTAGGTAGGAAGTGGTGACAGTCCTCCATACAACGACACGGTAACAAGGACTCCTGAAGCAGGAATCTGCGAAGCTTCGGGGTTCTCAGACAGCAAAGGGGCTCTCACGGTTTAGGGTTTAGGGGTTGAGGGTTTAGGGGTTTAGGGTTTAGGGGTTTAGGGGTTTAGGGTTTAGGGGTTTAGGGATTAGGGGTTTAGGGGTTTGGGGTTTAGGGATAAGGGGTTTAGGGCTTAGAGTACCACCTGCGTTGGCGAAAAGCTTGCCTGTGTCTGCCTCTATGTGTCTCTGCGCCTAGAGAGGGACACGGAGGGAGAGGGAGAGATCGAGAGTGCGTAGATGATAAGCCTGGGAGGTACTGTCATGACCAGTGGCCATGTCGTTGATCTGCGGCGAAGGTAGGGCCACTTGCCCTTTCAGCGGAAGGTCGGCGCAGCGCAGCACGTCCTGACGACGGAGCGAGTCGACTTACTGATTCTTGGAGTGCAACTTGGGTTGCTCCAAATTAAATGCTTTTTGGGTCCGCATCATGAACTACTAGACTGGCAAGTACAAGTGCATTCAAAAGGCCCTGAACATCCTCCATCTGCCAACTGTTGTGAAGATCTGGATTTGTGGAGGAGGCTTGAAGTGCATAGTATAGAAAATTATTAAGGCCACTGGACGGCCCCAAAGAAGCCCAAAGCCCTACTTTCCTACAGGTAGGGCAGCTGACTTGGATAACAAGCCACGGCCTATCAATGCCTATCAGCTGGCCTTCGGCTCAGACAATGGACCCACATTAGGGTACTACTGCTATCTCTCGCAGGGGCCCTCTTATCTGAAGTATACTACCAATACCCTAAACCTAAGACCCTAAATCCTAAAACCCTACAACCCTAAAACCCTAAACTCTTACGGAGGCTCAATAATTACTACTGACATCTCTCAGGGGCCCTTTATACCTAAGTATCTACCCCCATTCGACCACTGCTCTAGGGCCGAAACTACAGATTCTCTGTCCAGGGGGCTGGGTATCCTAGCCCAACAAAGGCTAAGGGTTTAGGGTTTAGGGTTTAGGGGTTTAGGGTTTAGGGGTTTAGGGTTTAGGGTTTAGGGGTTTAGGGTTTAGGGTTTAGGGTTTTGGGGTTTTGGGGTTTAGGGTTTAGGGTTTAGGGCTAACCTTTTCAATTACCCAAAGGGTCCAAAGTACCCATATAGTAGACTGTAGGGTTTCCATATTAGGAAGTACTATTATGATTTGGGGAAGTATCCCCCATAACCGTACCTAGGACCCTTTGTGTTATGGTAGGATTATGTAAACCCGGCTAATAATTAGTTACCGCAGCAGCAAAACACCAAGCCCAGGAAGCCACCGTGCCAAGTCCTTCGGTAAGCCGAGAGCAGCAGCCAGCCGTGCAAGCCTTGTGTAGGGGGCCACATGACATTGTGATTCATATAGGGCCTTGCAGAGTTAGAACATTTTTTGGGGGGTTGTCTCATAGTAGATTTATCTAAGGATGAAGAACTGCCAGCCCCAAGCCCCCAAACAAAAACTAAACCCTAGTAAATCCTGAACCACAAACCCTGAAGTCCTTAAACTCCGAGGCTCCGTGACACCGAAGATCTACCGTCGCCTGGGACCTGTCGCGTAAATAATTGCGAGGAAGCAGCCCAGCCTCCACAAGCGGGGCTCATCAAAACAACATGAACTTCGTATCGGAACCCTCGTTGTACCCTGCAGAGGGCCCTTGAGAAGCTGAAAATCGTCCAGGGCGGTACGGCTTACCTTAACGGAGGATAGGTTACCTTTCTGAGGACTTATATAAGGAACCCTAGAAAGGTGGGTCTCTTAGGGTCCAGGTAGGGCTTAAGCTAGCACAGAGTTGGTCTGGGCTACTTTCAAGAAAGGAACAGGTCCGCCACACAGCCGTCGCTGCCGCCAGAGTCGACAGCAGCATCGCTGAAGGTGTAGCAGCACACCTAAGGAGATCGCACTCGACAGCCTAAAGAACGGATATTCAAAGAGTTCGGTTCTCTGAACAGTGGAGGGCTTGGGGGTGTAATCACAGGCTAAACTTCCGGGGTCGTCAGACTTACCCACCCTGAACCCTAAACCCTAAACCTAGAGATGTTGACTTCCGATACTATAGCAACCTCAACGGATGGAGTAAGGCTTGCGGGGTCTATTACGGAGCCCTCAAGAGTGTACTGCAGATATTTCAATTTCAGGCCTCTTCAAGGGTCTTCAAGGAATCCATAAAGGAACCCTCAAAGGAACCCTCAGAGGAACCTTTATGGTGTCATCTTCTTCTTCTTCAGGCTGCCGGGTCATAGCGAAGCGTGCACACAGATCTCCATCATATCGGTTTAGGTTTAGGGTTTAGGGTTTAGGGTTTAGGGTTTAGGATTTAGGGAAGCAGCATGACAAACAGCAGAAACGCTACAGACTACAAACATCACAGACATCAACGATGGAGAAACGAATACTGATACAGCCAAGTAGTATCGCAAGTGTAGGAACAGCGATGGTGTTTTGCTACTGCGAGAGCAGTCAGCCAAACAGTCATGCTGATGGACACAATGATGAGAAACTCAACCAACCCTAAGGGTCCATGTACCCATATGGGAGTTTCCGAGAATTAGGGGTACCCTATTTTGGGGGTCCTTATAATAGAGATCCTACCATCTGGGCCCCCATTTTCGGAAACAGCCATATAGAGATACATGGGCCACAAATTACCGAAATAGGGACTACATTAAGGCCAATGTATATACTATATGGGCACATGGACCCTGAGGGCAAGTTTCCAAAGGCTTCGACAGGCGAAGTCGTTCAGATCAAGCACTTATACCTACCTGCGGCTGTAGATCCGGAAAATGACGAACTGTTTGTCAAAAAACGTCGCCGGAAGAGTACCCCTTTGACAGTTCAGAAATCAATACAGCGGGATGGAAGACTAATAGGCTAGAAGCCTAGCTATATGGCATAATCCTAAACTCTCTAGGCCCCAAACTCCAAGCCCTAAAACCCTTCAGCCGACAACATGAGATCTAGGGCAGAGCTGATCACACGGCAATGCATTTAAGAACCATAAAAAGTAGAGGCCTTGAACGAACCTTTATGAAAGCTTATACGTAGCCCTCCAACATGTTCGGAAGTAGGAATGGAACCCTTAAAGGAGACCAGAAAAACACATTGAAACACAAAACCGAAAACCATATAAAAATTTCATGTACTGAGAGCCGAAGGCCCTAGACCGATGCCAGCGGACCAACGGCGTCGGCAAGCCCGCTGAAGGATAATCCTGCAAGGCGGTCGAGCGCTTGAGGATCAGGGTTAGGGTTCGGGGTTCAGGGTTCAGGGTTTAGGGTTTAGGGTTCAGGGCTCTAAATCTTCATTCGGCTCGGGACAAACCTTAAATGTGGGACGTTCGGAAAGTAAGGGACTTACAAACAGAGGATCCTTCCTCACACAAAGACTCCGAAAAAAGATATTCCTAGCCTAGTGTTGAAAGACCTCAAACACATCATGCTGTATGTTCTCCAGTTATCCTCCTCGCAACAGGGGTGGTCTTTTGCTTTCAATAAGTCATGCAGTTTTACCGGAAAGACAAGGGCAACACGGGAACTCCGGCAGACCCAGTAAACTTCAAAACTCAGCCGGAAGTTTCCGAAAATAAGGGACCCTAATAGAATACCCTAAACAGTGGGATCCTCATTATAGGGACCCCCAAATAAGGACGCCCGTCCAGGCCGCGGAAGCAGTCGAGCAACTCAACCCCTGCTGCAGGAAGGTTGAACACTGCGTGAGTCACCTGGTGATTCAAATGGGAAAAGGAGGGACCCTTCATAAGGACCCCTAGGTATATACCCTCAATATAGCCATTATATACGCATTATATGGCCCATTATAGGGTAGGGGTCCCCATTAAGGGTCCCTCCTTTTCCCCTTTGAGTGATTTCTTGCAGCAAGGGGTGTTTGTCTAATCGGAAGCGGGGCGACAAAACGTTTCGCCCGGAGGATTTAGGAGGGTTTCCGGCCATATATCGGGAGCTCGCACATTCAGAGGTAGGGGTCCAGCAGCGCATCCGCAATCCCAAACTCTTCAATACGAGATCATGAGATTCTGCAAACTGCTGTCTGATGGCTCGTGGGGCCTGAAGATGACTTTGAGGGTCTGAGTTTGGATCTGGTGAGTCTTGGCTTCGGGTTCAGCAATCAGAGGTCGAGGATTCCCTGTCCAAGGCCAAGTCGAACATGATTTTTGTTACTTGGCCGGCAAGCTTTCTGGGTAATTACCCTCCGATTTTCGTCTCGTGAATCGTGTATGCAGCTACCGCTTTATTTTAAATCGAAATGAATGCCATCTCTACGACTTAGCAACAGAGGACAGGAAGGACCTTGATCGTCATCGGCATAGGCATGTCTCGACATGTAGCTCAAAGCCTGTGCTATGCATGCTTGTCACACGTAAAAAAAGTTCTTTGGTATAGATGACGTCTATGCTTCCCGGCCATAGACTAGAAAGGCTGCATAGAACTTGTCTTAAAGCTCCCAAAGCCCCTGAATCGGGCCAGGCGCCGGGTGTCGCTTCTGAAAAAGGTCCGGCACAAACTGCCGCGCATCACCTCCCAAAAGCCGGGCTTTTAGTCTGAAGCAAAAAGCTCAAGGGTTGACTACTATTCTATATATATATATATATATATATACTACTACTACTACTACTACTACTACTACTACTACTACTACTACTACTACTACTACTACTACTACTACTACTACTACTACTGCTACTACTACTGCTACTACGAGTACGACTAGTAGTAGCAGCAGCAGTGGTAGTAGCAGCAACTAGTAGTAGTAGTAGTAGTAGTAGTAGTAGTAGTAGTAGTAGTAGTAGTAGTAGTAGTAGTAGTAGTAGTAGTAGTAGTAGTAGTAGTAGTAGTAGTAGTAGTAGTAGTAGTAGTAGTAGTAGTAGTAGTAGTAGTAGTAGTAGTAGTAGTAGTAGTAGTAGTAGTAGTAGTAGTAGTAGTAGTAGTAGTAGTAGTAGTAGTAGTAGTAGTAGTAGTAGTAGTAGTAGTAGTAGTAGTAGTAGTAGTAGTAGTAGTAGTAGTAGTAGTAGTAGTAGTAGTAGTAGTAGTAGTAGTAGTAGTAGTAGTAGTAGTAGTAGTAGTAGTAGTAGTAGTAGTAGTAGTAGTGTAGTAGTAGTAGTAGTAGTAGTAGTAGTAGTAGTAATAATAGTTCTTGTACTAGTACTAGCACCGCTTGCAGCAGTAGCTGTTGTCGTCGTCGTACTAGTAGCAGCAGAACAGCTGATGTACTGGCAGTTGTCGTAGTCGTATCGGCGGCAGTAGTGGACTACGAAGTCTCCTCGGTTACAGCACGCCCACATTCTAGGATCGAAGCAAGCACCCAAAGGCTCCATGTACCTTGATAGTAGATACTTAGGCCTTAAAGGTGTCCCAATATAGATACTTGTTTAGGCCCAAGCATCAACTATAAAGGTACATGGAGCCTTTGGGGCAGTACGTAGGACAAACGAACACGAAATGAAGAACAACACCAAGGTAAGCCCGGTCTTCCAAGCACTGCTCCAGAATCCAATCCATATGGGTGGTTGTCAAAATTATAGTCCCTTTTTGGGTGCCTAATATAGCACGGCACCTAATATCTAGGATCCGTATCACTGGCTTCTTGTGTTATTTCCGTAGTGACTGAGAATACTGGGCTGCACAGGCACTCGGACCCCAACGGATTAGCTAGCCTACCATAAGCCCTGTGGACCCAACGTAACAATCAACATGCAGTTGATACGTTCTATAATTCCCATGGAGAACCCAGTCGTCTGGATTGGTTTTCAACAATGAAACCTTTAAGACCACTTCTGAACGGAAGGACTCAACAACAGGAGCAAGAACAGGAACACCCATAAACACACATTCGCAGCTCAGAGTCTGCATTGAGTGTTCAGCCTTAGGGTTTAGGGCTCACGGGCTTAGCCCACTGCGAAGCCGTTGGCTCCTCCACCGGCACTTCCTCATCATCACGCTTATAAACCCCAAATCCACAAACCCTAGGAGCCCTAAACCAGGTTTCCATCTTGTGCCAACACATATCCCTTAACTGAGGAATGTACATTAGATCATCTTACGGAAGCTACAAAAGTCTGGTACCGTAACCCCATCTAGCCTACCTTACTTCCAAGCCCCAAACCATAAATCCTAAACACTCAAACCATAAACCCTGAACAATTGAACCGTAAACCCTAAACTATTGAACCCATCTTGTGGCCTGGCTCATGGATAACCAGCAGGGAGCCCGTGGAGGGCGCGGCGAAAACATCGCTGTAGTGCGGCAACGACTCGACCTCGACGACCTGGTCCAAAGAGATGACTAGATTTAGGGGTTAGGGTTGATGGTTGAGGGTTTAGGGTTGAGTCAGAGGGCTTGAGGGTTGGGAGGTGAATTTGGTGAACTTTGTCATTCTTGCTCAGTTCGTTGTTCACCGCTGCATGGTTAGAGAAGAGGAGTGCTGCCATGCTTTTAAACACAGTAGTGATTCTGGAAGTCTGACTGAGCTGCCAGGATTGCGATAATGCCAACAGTAACAACAACCTTTCAAGTGACAGCGGCAGTGAAACATAATGAGAAGACTTTGCAGGTAAGACACATCATCATAATTTCGTATAGCACTTGAGATGAACCGAGAATCCGGACCAGCAACAACCATGCTGTGCGCGACGTCGTAACAACCATACTAGCCAACAACCACATCAAATCAAGCACGACTGTTTAATCTGAACAATGATTCAAAGAGCTAGGCTGCCAGCACTAAAATGGCGAATCGTACCCTGGTGGTAACAACATTCGCAAGAGTTTTCACGACACCCAGCATTATTGGCAACATCGTGATGGCAGCAGCCCGCGGCGGGTGAGGCGCGAGGGCGCGGATGCTCCCTATTACTAAACCCTAAACCCTGAACCCTAAACCTGAGGAGGCGGCATGTTCCTCCATTTTGTTGAGCGCGCAGCTCTTACCTTGGCGCGTGGTCTCAAAGGCGAGCCGAAGGATGAACCCGGAGACGCCGGATTTACGCAGCAATGCTTTAGGGTTTGGGGGTTCAGGGGTTTGGGGGTTTAGGGTTTAGGGGTTTAGGGGTTTCGGGGTTTAAGGGTTTGGGGTTTCGGGGTTTGGGGTTTAGGGGTTTAGGGTTTAGGGGTTTAGGGTTTAGGGGTTTTGGGGTGTTGGGGCTTAGGGTTAGCAATCGCGGCCTTTATCTCCAAAGCTGAAGCTTCTAGCGAAACGCTAATCGCCAGGCACTCAACCCTGCAAGCAGCAGGGCTCAAGTGGAGCTCTTCCTCGAGCAACTTTCGGTTCCCAGTCAAACGATGGAAATTTCTTTTACAAGCCTGATAGTCGCAGAGAACATCACTTGCCACGGAAGATATGGATGTCAACTCCTTCAAAAGCAAAAACTCTACTGCTCTGAATTCGTAGATTTCGGTGCTCAAGTAGGATAACTATACTTATGACCCATATTAGGGGACTTATCACCTTAAGAACCTGCAAGCAGACTCTAAATGCTGGCTGAGGGTTTCCGTCTGAAGCTTGCTGCTTATCTTCCGTGAGAATGCAAATATTACAATGGGGTTCCTTTGAAGAGATTCTTACAACTTACAAGGGGGACTATAAGGGTTACTTGAAGGGCTTTAGCTAGGGACCTTTTAACAATAATTAGAATAGGGTTTTCGGACCCATTATACTATGAATATGAAAAGGAGCCCCAAAATAGTGTAGGTAACTATTCAGGTCCCTCTAGTATTCTGTGCAATACAAAGTCAATGCGCTGGCATGTTGTGCCGTCTTTCTGCTGACTTGACCGTCCACTGCTGTGGGTAGGATTCATCATACAGGAAGCGAGGTAACAAGGAGCTGGGACCTGGGAACAAATGCAAAACTCTCCTACACACTGAAACGATTTCTGGCACATAGTTTGGCACATGCGGCGCAGAGAGCACATTTCTTGTCGAGAGGGGCACAGTGCAGCGCCTGGGATTAAGTTTCTTCATACTCATGACCTTACAGGAACACTCGCTTTCAGGCCGAATTATGTGCTGCCTGCTCGGAACCTGGTGGCAAAACCCACAACCCTAAAAACTACATAAGCTGGAAACCCTTGCACCAGGGTTGAGGCGTGCAACGTTCATACGGCTTAGAGCCTATCACTGTTGTTGCTTTCCAATTCATCCGAAACTCGCCCGACCCACCCCCAACAAACCCTTCCGCCCAAGTTCAGCAATGCCTTCAAAAGAAGCCCGAATCGATGCGTGAGCCCTTGCAGCTTTACAGTGGCGTCAGTAGAACCTCGAAGCCACCAAGACGTGACTGGCTATGCAGACGAATAAACAACGGCGGCAAATATCACGTTTGTCTGCATAGTCGTCACACAGATCGATGAAATCAGAAAAAGCCCACGGCAGCAATTCAACCATGGCACGAAGCCACCGGATGGAAGCAGGGTTCAGGTCCTGGCGTGGCGTTGTCGGTTCATGGGGTCTGGCCCGGAAAACACAAGCATACCTCACCAGGAGACGGTGCCGAATATGTCTTGTCAGGGACTTTACTTTAGTAGGCGAAAAAGCAAGGCATAGGATATACTGATATACTCACATGACTACTACATTATTACGACATCTGCCTTTTCTATTAAGAGAACCTCAACGCGTCAAGCAGAACCTACATAGCCTGGTCAGCAAGACTCAGAGTGATAAGGATCCTTGACCCTCAACCCTAGACCCTTAAGGAAACCTAGGAGCTTTTAAAATCGTGATGTTTTCCGGAGTTTATCATAAACCTTGAACCCTGACCCTAAACCCCAGGAGCCACAAGAAAGCAGGGAACTTCGGGCTTTGGAGGATTCGTTCAACAGGTGAGGCCTGAGGTTTGGACTTTAGGTTTCACGGCGTGAGAGGTGAGGCCTGAGGGCTTGCGGCAGAAGGGAGTTTGCATGCTGACAAACATGCTTTGGAGCAGAGTCTACCCCAGAGTATATTATTCCAACTATAAGAGGGAACTCCCAGGAGCACTATGATTGAGTATTCAAGCTCCTTTCATACGCTGGTTTCGCGGGCGCTCTTGCCACAAGAACGAAACGATTTAAACCTAGGTATACATCCGCACATAAGCATCTGTTTATAATCGCTTTGCTCAAGGCCCTCGAAATGCAGGATTCTTCTACGGCTTTAACGATACTTGCGATCGGTACTACGGGACATTTAAAATGCGGGATTGTTGGGAAGACATGGCCGAAAGGCATTCGCATGGCTGACGACGCCATTCACGAGCTTGACGATGGGTAGCGAGAAAGGTCCCACCTCTGAGGAGAAGGACTGTTCAAACAGAAGAAAACCATAGAAGAAAATAATGCAAAGGGAAGAAGACACGAATAAGGACTTTTCAGAGTTTAGGGCTTGAAGCCTTCTAGATCCCTCCTGAAACCGTTAAATTTAACAAAATTATCGTCCTGATATTGAACCAGTTGAACCGCTTTAGAACCTGGAAAGCGCCCTTATTCGAACAAGCTTGGGATTTTGGGATGTTTCGGATTCCAGGCTTTTAGACGAAGCTCGGGATTCCGAGTCAAGTTCAGAGTTGAAGCAGGTGCAGCACGCTCTGAAGTCAGCTCTTAAGTTTAAGGATTTAGGGTTAATGTAGGACCTGATTAAGAAACCCTGGGCCTATAACCCCAAAACAGTAGGATATGAAGAACCCTACTAAAGGCCCAAGGTTTCTTAATCAGATTCCTACATTAGGGTTTCGGGTTAGGGTTTAGGGTTTAGGGTTTACGGTTAAGGGTTAAGAGCTCTATGCCTCGAACCCTTACAGAAGCTTTGGAAACCCCATACAACCCACATAAATCCCGTGTTATGAACCTCTACAGAAGACGTTTGAAGCCCTGTAGAAGCCTCGTGGACACCTCTTTGCTCCACGGTGAAGCCCGTAACGCAGGGGCTGAGCATCCTAGCCCCAAAAAGGCTAACCTTTTCAATGATGGTAGGATTATGTAAGCTCGAAAGGTTAAAGGTTAGCTAGTCAGTGAAGTTATAGAGCCCGAGTGATGGAACGAATTTATCATGATTTGTTTCGAAGCCCTAACGGTCCCTGACCCCGACCGAAAACAACGAAACATATCCCAAACCCTGTAAAACCTACGCCCTACGCCAGAAGCCGAAAACAAATCAATAGCCCAAACTCTATACACTTTAAATACATTATTACTATTACTGCGCCAGGACGAAAGTTCGTCGCATCCGGTAGGTCTGCTAACACATACTTGCAAGCCCCTGTCCCCCATAGACTCCTCCGAGAAGTCGCGATGTCAGTCAAGGACGTCACTAGTTCCTCCGTCGGAACAAAAAAACAGTGTATGTTTATTTTGGCATGGAAATTCCTCCGCTAGCCAGGCCACGTAAAATGAACTTCTTCGTACTCCGAGTCCTCCGCCAAGCAAAGACATCTTATAGTGCGACAAAACTTTCATGCTGCTGATGCTCACCCGCGACTAAAAACGAGTAGGCACCCGTCCAAAAAACCTCCTCCCGCGGGTTTCACGCATGCTGGCCTGGCCGAACTAGCGGTCTTGGAATTCATGCTGCGCCAGGACGAAAGTTCGTCGCATCCGGTAGGTCTGCTAACACATACTTGCAAGCCCCTGTCCCCCATAGACTCCTCCGAGAAGTCGCGATGTCAGTCAAGGACGTCACTAGTTCCTCCGTCGGAACAAAAAAACAGTGTATGTTTATTTTGGCATGGAAATTCCTCCGCTAGCCAGGCCACGTAAAATGAACTTCTTCGTACTCCGAGTCCTCCGCCAAGCAAAGACATCTTATAGTGCGACAAAACTTTCATGCTGCTGATGTATTACTACTATTACTAGTACTACTACTACTATTACTATTACTATTACTATTACTATTACTATTACTATTACTTCTACTATTACTATTACTATTGATATTACTATTAGCAAACACCGCGAGTGAACCCTAGAGCCCAAACCAAAAAGCCTCTAAACGCGGTCCGAGTGGCTCCACAAGTACAGTCTGCCAGAACGGGCTTTGCAGAAGCAGCATTCTTTGGCCTGAGAGAGTTTAGGGTCTAGGGTTCGGGTACCCTACACCCTAAACCTTGAGCCGCCCCTAGAAGCCTAACTTGCCGAGGTCTCAGGGTTTATGCAGGCTTTCGGACTCTTGGGGGATTTGGCTGATGTGGGGTTGGGCTTCAGGGCTTGCTGGTTTGGTGTTGACTTTGTTTGGACAAGGATAGGCTCACACTCCTTCGCCGAAGGATGGCATCCTAGGCCCTGAAATACTAAACCCTGAAACAACTAAACCTTAAACCCCAAACCCCTGAAAGCTTGAAGCCCTGAAACCCCCCAAACCTAACACCCTATACCCTGAAACCCCACAACCCCGAACACCCAAAACCCCAAACTCCCAAATCCTAAATGGTCCTAAATGCTTGCTCTGGAGCTGATATGGGCCCCAGATTGACGTGTTACACATGTTGAAAATGGGTTTGTAAATCGGAGGGTGACCTCTGGCTCACATAGCCGTCATAATGAATAGGGCTTTTGGTGCATGATCGTATCATGGGACTGGAAAAGGGATACCATCTCCATATTGCCAGTTCGAGCAGAGCACTACAATAGCAATGACCATCCAGGAGCAGCCTCCAGTAAGCCTCTGAATGCTGGCTGCGGTCTACGAATTTGGAATAGGGGCGTTTGGTTCAACATGATCACGTCAGAAGTCTGCTTGTTTTTGAGAATTTGGAGGATGATTACTGGTATATAAACCAAGTTCTTCAACCTCCAGACCCTCAGCCAGCTGACGATCCCCTCAAACTCAGAGCATGTAAACCCGAAACCCTCCAAGATCTTGACCTGCTGCCCTACCCTAAGGGTCCAAAGGACCTAATGATTAGGTCCTTACATTTCGGATAGTAGTCATGTAGGTTACCGTGTGGGAGAGTATATGACTATTAGGTACTCGGACCCTTACGGCTATACGGGACCCTCGGCCCGAAACACTTTCTTCAAGCGGCTGCATGAACAACGCCTCAACCAGGCGACCGTGCTCCTGATCGGAGGTCCATTGGCTTGTAGTTTCGATATGTAGAGACTAGGATTCAGGTACCCGGCTAACAGGGGTTACGACCTTGAACCAAGTTCCAAATAGGGCTTCGGGCTTATGACTTAGGGTTTACCTGGGTTGTGGTATGAGGGCTCACACGAAAGCTTAGGATCTATGTCTGCTTTGGGGCTTGCGGGCTCAGGTCTGGAAGTGCTAGGTTTCGGGAAGAATCACCACCGCTGGTATTCACTGGGGTTGCTGCAGGGTTTGCGGCTTTAGGTTTGAGGCTACGAAAGCGCGAGGTTGAGGGTTCGCAATTTAAGGACATGGGGGCTTCTGTATACTCTCACAAATACTAGTAAGGGTCCATGTACGCAAATAGTATATACTGTGGCCTCAAAGTACTCCCAAAAAAAGTACATGGACCCAAAGTATATACTACTTGGGTACATGGACCCTTTACCCTAAACCTTCAGAACAGAACCCTCATGGATCCCTTAACGGAGCCCTCATAGGTAGCCTTAAAGAGACCCTATTTGGGGACATGGATGGACCCTGACATCAAGATAGCCCTCAATTCAGCATTACAGTAGAAGCCAGAAAGTTGGAATATCATTGTCGTAGCCCCTTTAAGGTAAATTATAGGGGATCCGACCATTAATCCATATTCCAACTTTCTGGAGTTCCCTTTAGAGGAAACGGGTCCACGATCCTCCTGGAGTCTCGAGTTCCAGTAGACGTCTCGATACTCAAACCTGGGCCGTGGTGCGTGGCATTCAGGGTTTGGGGGTTTAGGGTTGGGGCTTAGGGTTTATAGGGTTTAAGCTTTAGGGTTTAAGCTTTGGGGTTTAGGGCTGGGGCTTATTAGGGGTTGAGGGAATTTTGGATGGGGTTTAGGCTTTGCCTGGGGATTCAGTGACCTACTGCTTATCAAGGGTTTAAGGGTTTGGGCCGCCACTTCTAGGTTTTGAATGGGTGTATGTGTCGCCGCAGTTGAAGGGATTGCGAGTGGACTGATCCTAAGAATTCACGAGCCGCTGCTAGCGAAGCTGCGTGCGAGAAGCTCGAAGAAGCACTGATGCTCCTTCAGCCGCACCACGGTAGACTCCTCACCTGCTTGCTGGTATACAAAGCCCGCTTGTGTTCATTAACAGGTATGCTAATTACAGTAAGTAAAGGAGCAATGCTTCATCTGGCTTGTTCCTTACCATCGGCAATGCAGGATATGATATTGCCAATCAGCAGTGTCGAGATGATACTTAGAGTGGAGCTTGCAGCTTGGGTCGGTTGGATTTCGCGTGGGGGGGGAGCCAGCTTTGAGGCGCATCTGAATTAGGTACTTGACTTTTCGGACTTTAGGATAGTATAAACTTGGGTTAATTACTGGGGAAGTCGGACTTTAGGATAGTAGAAATTTGGGTTAATTATTGGGAAGTACATGGTGCTTGGGTACTTGGACGCTTAGGGGAACAACTACTGCAAGGTACAAACCACTGTCACAGAGAGCGACAACAACAGTAATGTGTGCGGAGGATTCAGCACAACCTTGAACACTGCACGCCCCTGCCCTCAAACCGAAACCCATGTGCACTGATGTGCTTAGGTCGCGCCTGCTAGGACTTCCATGGCAAACGTCCGGAATTCCTGAGGCTGTCAAGACCATTCGGTTCAGGGCTTTCGGGTTGGCGTTTGGGGAAAGCTCAGGGTTTTGTGTTCATGCTTTTATAGTTTAAGGTATGGGGGCCGCTTAAAGGCTTACTTAAAAGAGTCAGCAAACTTAGGAAATAGGGTTGTGAGTTGCTCACCTCCACTGAGGTACGTGCAACCTGAAATGCCACCAAGTACCGAGATCCTGCAAAAACAACTTCGAACTTAGGGCGTAAGTCTCGTGGTTTAGAGTTCATTGTAATGCTTACAGTGTCCAGACCTTGAGCTCAGCCTAACAAAAACATGCAAAACCCGAACACTGAGCTCAAAGCATTGCATCCCGCACCTTTTGGACCCAAGCGGCTACGGATGGAACACGACCTAACGGCCCATGTATCCACGTAGCAACAAAGGAACCTTGTAAGGCCAAAGTCCACAGTGTATGTTTGAAGGTGCATGGAATTTCAGGGTATACTCTGGCTGCTGCTGCTGCTGAAGGATTCCTGTTCAAAGAGACCCCTGACCTCAAATACGCCCATAAACCCTATACCCGAGAGCCCTAAACCCTAAACCTTAAACCCTAAAGCCCTATACCCTCAAACCCTACAGCAAAAAACCCTAAACTCGATGAAGGTGGGTGTCTGTTTCGATCCTGCCGACCTTGTTGACGACCGTCTTGATCTAGGCCGCCACAAGCAGGCATTGAAGCTTGGGGGCTGAGTACCCGAGCCTGAAAGAAAGTTTACCTTTTCAAGCATGGTAGGGTTATGAAAAGCCCCAAAGGCCAAAGGTTACCTGCTCAGCTACTTGTGAAGAGGTTGGGACTAAAGGCTGCTAAAAAAAGACCCTATGGGCCCATGCACCCAAATAAGACATACCGTGGTCCCAAAGTACTTAGATAGGGATTGCTTTAAGGCCAAAGTATACCTGTAGCCGAAAAGACCTACCTTTCTTGGGTTCCTTGTTATAGCTTTTCTCTCTCTCTCTCTCTCTCTCTCTCTATGTATATATATATATAATATACATATGTATGCATACTTGTTGGTACTTTTGGGGTACATGGAGCCTCAGGGATTGGGGCTTAGTTTGCATGCATAGGGTGTTGCCCCTTGGGCCTCAGCAACACGCATTGAGGTTGCGAGTGCCAGATGACCC